TGTGGCTTCAACAAAAAAAACTTAATAAAATCTTTCGCCACTGAAGATGAATTGAGTAATTTTATGCCTGGGTGTGATGAATTCTTCTTTGATGAATTTATGTAAGAACCTACAGCGGGATCGACAAGAGGAAAAAGTTTAATTCAGCCAAAGATGGAAACCGTTCCCGAGGATGTTCGAACAAAGTGATAATAAATATGACAGCATTTGGTGACATTTTTTGAATTGGTAATGTCTTTTCGCTTGGAAATTGGTCGACGGTATGCGTAGTATGAAGTACCTATGTACTTCTAATTTTAGAAAAAAGGTAATACTATTCTGTATTTGTAATTATTTTTCTGTTTGCCAACAACAGAAATTATTATAAAAGATATGCAAATGCGTCGTGCGGATTCAAGCGTCTTATATCCGATATATATATCGGAATAAGCTGTAACAAATATTTTAAAGTAAAAGTTTAGAAACGTATATCAGCAATTTTGGCTTTAAAAAGACGTACCTGTTATTTATCCCGAATTATGGAGTAATTTGAGGAAGTTTTTAATTGATTTTCCTAGTGAGAAGGAGTTTCAGCATGGTTGCCAAACTCCAAAATAAAAAGTAAAAGACTGGATGCTACTAATAGAGATTTTGGGTTAAACCTAACAAGATTGATGCCGAATGTTGAAAGTTTGATATTAAAGCAACAAATTAATCTCTCCCATTATAAACATTTGTTTGTTGATCAGTTATTTTATGCAATGGTTTAATTAGCACTGTTTCTTAAGGTTTTAAACACTATACTTCCCTACAGTTAGAAATTTAAATATTTTAAAGTAAGTAGCTCTTAGCAGCTGTCGAAAATACATTTAAGTTGATAAATTTGCAAACGTTATTAAGTAACTAGGGGTCTATGAGTTAAAAAGTTTGGGAACTTCTGATTTAGAGCTAATACTTAGATAATTATCTGCAATTAGTATTAAAAAGAGACTGCATTTATATTCCTACTCAAACATTTCTTGAATTATAATATTAAAATTAACTAATAATACTTAAAAAAATATTTTTAAAAAATTATGTATTTTTTAACTGACATTTTGATGTAGTGACTTGAACCATGCTGTGTCTTTACAGTAACACTAAGAAAATATATTTACTGGATATAGAGTAATAGTAAGTTTTTATCAATTGAAAAAAATTCAAATATTTATTTTAGTGTAAAGTTATTCCAATTTTCTTTCCTTCTTTGGCTTATTTTACTAAAAGGAATTTCTATATATTTTATAGTGAATGAAAATTTTAGAACAACGTTTTTAATGCAGCTTAAATTCCAATGAAAAAGATAAACACAATTTCGTACTCACTTCATCGAAGACGTCTACCCTGGCTGCGTTTTGAAGAAGCAGTTTGACAACTTCTGGATGACCTGTTTGGCAAGCATATAGTAGTGGAGTCCATCCATTCTGAAAAACAAGTTTAGATATTTAAAATACAACGGAAAAATTAAGTGAAAAAAAGATGACAGCTTTGAACAACTAAGATTTCATGCCATACGATTATTTAGCGGAATCATTCCGGATTACATAATATTATTTAATTCTAATGAATGCATTAAAATTTGATGATAATATAATGAGTTACACTGATAAGACTTACCAAAGCGATTCTATTGCAGGCACCTTGTAGCATAGTTGGATCAATCTGGTTTAAAATCTCGTGAAGTATATCTGCATTTCCCTCTTTGCTGCAGTAATGAATGCAAGTCATGCGGTACTGTAAAAGAAAAGAAGTATATAATTACATCAAGTTATGAAGCAAATTTCTTAACTTTTAGCAACACTTAGGATTCATTCAGAGCAGAAGCACATTTCTGCAGCAAGTTAGGAGTTCATGTTAATTTCTACTTAATTTTTCAATACCATGATTGTAGTAACTAAGCGAGGTCCTGCAAATACTCTTCTACTCCCCCTCCCAAAAAAAGTTATTGTTGTTACATATCCCACCCGATCGTTATTATCAGATCGAGGTCCATGAAATTCACCGGGGCAAGGGGGTGGACAAATTACATCTGCCACTTAGTCGCAGCTTTTGAGCAGCATGCAGGTAAAAATACGATTTCAGTCCGTTCCACTCCAACTTTGTGGAGAGCCACCCCGGGGGCCGTGAGTCTCCCACTCTTCTTCCCCTGGTGACTTTCGATCCGCCAAATATTTAAAGTGCCCCCATGCTGCGCAGCCCCTTGAGCAGCCAATCGGAGTCTATGATCACTTTCACCAACCAGAGAGCAGCCTCTAAGCTCTTAACCAAGGCTAAAATTCTTCTCTCTCTCTCTCTCAAACTCCGTCAAGAAGAAACTTTTAGGCACGCTTCCCGGATCTCCTTGCAACAGCCAATCACCTTCATGCCTCTCAGCAGACTAAAAAACTCCACTTTCACCTTCTCCCAAATCGAAGACCACCAGATATGGGATTGAGGACTGCATGCAGTCCAGAAGCCCACAGATGAACGCCCATTTCAACGCCCACAGACTATTCACTTTCAAACATCCATGTCTTCTCCGAGATTCAAACCCGAGCCCTTCGGCATACCAATCAGCGTCACTAAGAAACCATCACCATCTGAGCGGGGAATAAAATTTTTTTATTTTATTTAGAGATAATGTGATAATTTATAGATGGGAAAAAATATATTTTAAAGGATAATACAAAAATGTACTAATGCGTTATTTTTCAATTTTAATAAAGACTTAGACAAAGAAACTCAAATCTCATTTTAAAATATGTTTAGCAACAACATTATACAGTATGGATTTAATTTGGATGAACTGTACACTTTCAGAGAAGCATCATATTCGAAAGTATTGTACTAAGATATAAAGTGGTTATTTTATTTATATAATAATTCATAACACATTGTCGACTGAGAAGTAAATTAAAAGCAAGTCTTAAGTTTTAAATAAGTACAATAATCAAATAATTTTCACCAAAATGATGTTTAGCTTAAGTTCTGCAGAATGCAAGAGGTCTCATCAGAGTAAATTAACTTAGAACATACTTCATGTGAAAATTTGCAGCGTTGTAATTCATACATTTGCTTATAATAGTATGTTTTTAAAATTTAAAACATTTCATGAGTAATTTTTCTGTTTAACATGTAACAGGATAGCTCATTTAGCATTACGGTGTATTAGAAATAATGCGAAACATTTTGTACCAGGAAAATAATCGGTCTGTTTAGATCAAAATAAAGAATATGATAAATTATACAGCTTTCTGTAGAATATAGAGAAGTTAGAAATGTGCTCCAACTTTATAATTAAATTCGATATGGAAATTTTTTTTTTAGATTTTGGGTTCTATTTTTTAACATTACAACAAGACAGCGCTATTAATTCTTGAAGATATTACAATTCAAGATATCGTATAGTTTCGGGCGCATTTTTAAAGTTAAAGTGAGAGGGGGGGGGGGGGGTCGGCTTATATAAGGTTCCGCTAATTTCAGAAAAAAACGTTGTTCGGAAAAATTGTTTTTTAAAGTTTTTTCCGTTAGCCATGTGCAAGCAATTTTCATCGTGCTTTGAACGGAAATTTTATCCTAGAAAGAAAAAGAACAAATCACATAAATACTTCAAAGTCAGAATTAGAACCTGAGTTTTTGAACAGTTCGTAAAATTCGCATTCACTCATTGGGATGCCTGAATGCATATGATCATCATGCAGCAAATTTTTCCTGCAGGCATGAAACATAGGTCGAAGATCACATGTCGTATGCAAATTTCTCTTCCCACAAATTTTCAAACAAAAAATGGCTCAGAGAGTATGGTTAGCACAGATAGTGTTCAACATAAATTATTAGAAAAAAATGTTAGCTTCAAATAGGTTTACTGGAAATAAAATTGTTGTCGTTGGAGTCTGGCGTTTTACTTTGTAGCAATTTGATCTAAAATATTCCATATGCTTAACCCGCTTGATAACATTTTCTTCCTCATCACGACATGTTTGAAAAAAAAATCATAGGATTTTTTTTCCAATTCAAGCTTATTTACTGGCTTCGAATTCTGTGGGTAAATTTTCAAAGAAAAATCACGTTTAGGCTTATTTTTGGAAATATACGGTATTAACCTTCTTTATGTCGTTAAGAGTTATAATGGAAACCACAAATTATAATTGCAGTTATTCTTTTCATATTTGCATAAGTAACTTCATGAAATGAATGTGCTTTATTAAAAATTTGAATCGAGAGAATAGAATAAAATCTAATCTATAACATTATAGAACTAAAAAAAGTAAGAACATTTAAATATAATCTATACTAAGTGTTTGATAGCACAGTAAAAAGGCCTGGTAAAATAGCATATAAACTTTTTATAACAACTTTTTGTTGCATGTTCTACAGAGAAATATGTCAAAAAGTTTTTATTTATACCTCTTTGTTCGGAACATTGACTTCGCCTCCATTCTGCAGTAGTAGCTTCACCAGGTCTTTGTCTTCGGTCGGATGATGGGCTTGACTTTTAGATACAAGACTGGCATAGTGAAGCACTGACTCACCAAGCTAGGGGGGAAAACAGGCAATAGTTTAAAAGAATAACTAAAATGCTTGGCTGAGTCTATTTTACACTAGCCGTTAACTGCCAGCTTTCATTATTTATTGTTTCCAAGTTATTGATATCTAAGTTTCACAGAAAAGCTTTCGAATGTACAGAAAATAATTCTTATAGCCCTGGCCTTTTGATTTAAACAATATAAAAAAATTTAAGTTAATTCCTACTTAAGGCAATAAAGAAAAATTTTATTTTAGTTACTTTCTATTAAATAGTTACAATTAATATAAATATGTATATACATATGACAGAATCACACTATTAAGTGACAAAATAGAAATCAATTTTACATTTTCCTTTCTATGTATGGTGTTGGCCAATTTTTTTATTTGTTACTATTTTTATTCATTAATCAAATTTAATTATTTTAATGAAATAGTATAGCAAAATTGAAAAATCACATCCTCAGAAATTAAACCATCCCAGAGGGTATTCGAAAGCACGATCCTTGGATTAGAAGTCCAACGCGCTATCCATTGTACTACAGGGACACAACGAACGATTTCCCTTTCTATATATGCTGTTGTACTATTTTTATTTATTGATTTTTAATTTAATTAACGAATTAATATTTGAAAAAACTGTACTAACCTCAAGTGTCCTCCAGTACAAGTTTTAAAAAATGTATTTGAACTTGAATGGATGAATTGAAAGTATTTTATTAACGATTGAAAATTTGAACGATATATAGGGAGAGAGTGAACTAATAATAGGAATTGAAAAGGATATTAATAATTTTGAACAAAAAGTTTTATCTTTTAGTCTAATTATGCATTAATTTTTTAAAAAGTTCTTGTTTCAAAAATATTTGACATACTCTTATATCCTAAGCTATCGGAGAAGAAAAGTAATTAAATTTAGCACTAATGATGGAAATAAAACTTTTCCTTTATTTAACTTACAAACTATTATTTTGAGGTCATCATACTCTTGAAATTTTCAAAAATGTCAAGACCAATCAATACGTTACACAACATACTAATTTCTTTTGACACACTGATTTTTTTTACGTTTTCCCTTTCACACTTTCTCACTGTTCTATTTTAGAGCATATGTATAGCCGCAGACAGAAGAGTGACCGACTTTGAATATTTAATGGGTTTCTGGATGGTAAAACATCTATTGAGTGTTTTGGTGCCAATAACCTCTATCTTTCGCTAGCTTTCAATTATTCAGAAGTCACTATAATATGCCATTGTTACACGATTTTCAATTGAAATCTATGTAACAAAGGTACAATTATATACCAGATTCCAATACATCCTTTTTAAGATTTTACTCTGCTAGAGACTCTTTTCATGATATAAAAATACGGATAGTAATACGTCTCGCAAAAATTCCATTAAAAATAATTAACTATTTTATAGTTGTACCTTTGCTGCGGGTGTTCAGCAGAATGTCTCAGAGAATTCTTATCTCAAATTTTTTCCCCTCATAGATCTGAACTAAAAACCAAAATAATAATAAACGACGTTTCCAATACTTTTTACTGACATTGACAATCTTTTCAACAAAATAGCAATACATAAATTGAAGCCACTGACCCAATAGGTACGCAGTTGTAGGGCAAGACATTGCAAAAACTTTTTTTATTATTTATTATTGATAAAGTTTCTACGTTATGCATTTACTCGGAAGGGTTTCGAAAAAAACTTTGAGAATTCAATTTATAACTTAAAATAATTCATTAATTTCTTTTATTAATGGAAATTGGGAATCCCAATGCATTACTACTGTTATAATGTACATTATTTTGAAAATTCCTGAAGTTTACAATATTTTACAAGATATAATAAAGGTCAAATGTACTTAAATCGTCTTTAAACTTATAAATATGATACTTGTATACAGTAAAACCCTGAAATTAGCGATAAGTAGGACCGAGTAATAATCATGTAAGTCGAATTCGCGTAAGTCTGGGTTTAATTTCGCAAATAAATACACAAATTATTTTTAGTTGAAGCCAGACACGAAAGAAATTAATATTATTGGAGAAAAGCTGGCTGGGTGGCGAAGTTTGTTTGTTGCTGGCCTTCTGCACCCAAGGTTGCGGGTTCGATCCCGGTCCAAATCGGTGGATTTTATTTTCATGATGCAGAAAACCAACAGCGCCCATGTCGTAAGATTATGCGGCATGTAAAAAATCTCTTAAGTGTCCGTTTGGCTTGGATGCTTTCGGCAAAACTAAATTCCCTAAGTACAAATTTCGCATCGTCAGAGCTTAGGTGCCTCCCTCTAGGGAGGAAATTGGACATCAAAATTACTTGCGGCATTTGGTATCGCCTATAAGGTGCCGCACTAAAAAGTGATACCAGCTCCTGGGGAATGTACTAGGTCTGCAAAGGTAGAAATACCAATCCGCCTCCCCATTAAAGATAGAAAGAATATAGGGGGAAAATTAATAAAATTTTAGATAACACAAATACAAAGTTGCAAACCGAAGTTATTTTGATGTAAGAGGTTTCATGTAAAATCTAACAAAGTAGTCTACCGGCTCAGGATTTTTTATCCCGCAAAATTTCCTCGTAGCATGCTAATAATTTTTTGAATCCTTGTTTTGTTGAAAAAATACGCTGTTCGTTGGAGTCTGTATCTTCCAAAATTTTTAACCCTCTTTCAATTAAATTGAGGCCTTCTGTAAAATTCTCAACCTTGATTCGATCTTTCCTTTAGAACTGGGTCTGAAGACTCAAGTTTTTCAATGTCTTGCTTTTGTATTTGTACGAGCTTATCAATTGTCAGCTCCTGATCGTGGAAATACAGCAGATTTTGAACTGCATCCCTTTCCACCTCTAAATTCATTTGAGATAGATAACTTCTTCAACCCGATTACCAATTTCATCAGGCTCTGGCACTAATCCCTCCTGGGTTTTAACATCTAATACAGTGTTTTTCAAACTGTGGTGCGCCGCCACGCCTGGGGGCATGATGAAAATTATGACTGAAAATTGGGTCGCAAGTGTTGGAAGTTTCAGAAGCACTAATCTAATAACACACCCACATTCCGTAGATAAGAAATAAGTAACGCAAAATAAATTATTAAGGATAAGCGTTGATTACGCCCGATACGTTCGAAGAGGTTCATTAGGTAAACAGGAAGCGGGCAGTGGGTAATCGAGTTGTGTAGCGCTGAAACAAAAGACGAATCAGCGAGATTTGAAAATCGCCAAAGTCAGGATAACGTAAGGATACTGTATATCTTTATGAAAGAACGTGTACTTGCTTAAAACTTACCGAAGTAGTGCGCTAAATGATACTCAAAAACCATCACATGGTTGCCTCAACAATACATTAATGTTATGATAAAGTGATTTTAATGACATTTCTTTCTCTCTTAAAAAGGCTTTCATATCGTTTCGTAAAGCGCGCCTTAATTTCAGATTTTGCCCATAAACACTTTAAATGTAGCATGGAGATTTATCTAATTGAAAAACAGTGCAAACTTAAACCTTATTAGTGCTGATTATTAACAAATTTGAGATAATATCCAAGAGCTTTCCCCGAATACCAAAACCGTATGCCCAAGTTACCTGCAATTCCGATTTTTATATAATTTTTAATTATGTGTAGGCAATAGATATAACACAATCTTCTAAGGAAACATACTTCATTTTGAGCATTGACAAGAGTGGCGCCGGTATCTCCTGGATGTGTTTTCTTCCAATGATCCAGCAAACTACGTGCCACCGCGTAGTGGCAGTTCCGTGCAGCTACGTGCAGTGGAGTCTCACCGCTCTGCAAGATGGATAAAACATTATTACAGAATATTAAAGCAGAGTACTCTTCTATAGAATTCAATTGAAAATTTCTTTCAAGTGAAAGGACGTACTATTGATTTCTGCTGCAGATCAGCTTTGTCTTGAAGTAAAAGTGCTACGGTGTTCAGATGACCAAAACGAGCTGCAAAGTGAAGGGGTGTTTCTCCGTCCTGAAAGAAATGTTCTGGAGATTAAGTGGGTTTCTATAAAAATTAGAAATTTTTTGTAATTTTCGAAGATAAATTTTCGTACTGAAATAATGACTTCTATGATAATATGAGTGCATATTTAGGAGCAAAACCAGGGAAATTAATGGTGGAACTTGTAATTTCCACACCATGCTATTGTTAGGACTTGAATTTTGTGATTGGAAGAACCAAATATAATTCCTGCAATCCATGTCAATATTTACCGTAAAATCCCATCAAAATGTCGTTTTCTAGAATAAGTTCCTTCTTCCACTTTCAGTAATTTGAATTTATTTTCACTTTTGAAAATATCCCTTCCCCTCAATATTTTTTTTTTGCTTACTTAATTTAGTATTTTGTTCTTTTTTTATTTCTAGTTCCCTACAATTTTTATACTCAAATACGTAAATTTCCGAGAACTTACAGGAACAGAATTTTTGACGTTGAAGAATCTTTCATCTACAAGAAGGACGTATATACGTAAAGAGTGCTTAAGGAGATAATAAGAAGGAAAAGTGACCACTGCACGATCATCATCCGGGTTCCGTGACGGTTTAGTGTAGCTATAAAGGCGTCTCAAGGAAACATTCCTCGAGGCGTACAAGGATTTCTCTGTTATTAAATTATAGCCGAGAAATTACAACAACAATAACTAGATTAAGGACAAAGCATTTTAAGGGCATGAAAATTCTGCCAGATGGTTCCAGATTATCTGTGGAATGCAGGCATTTCCCAGACACGCACTGGATCCCAAACACCTTTTTAGCTTTATTTCCATTGCTGGTGCCCTTTTTAAAATAGACGATGAAAGCAGCATGGACATTCTATACTCGGATCGTGCCATGGCAATGATTCACGCCTTTGGCAATATTTGATTATATCTTTGTTCTGCCATCACTATTTCATTTTGTCATACACAACAACAACAACAACAAGGATACATTTCTGCAGAAAGGACTAAAAACCAATGCAAATTTTTTGAAAACACTATCATAGAACCAATAGCGAAGCCCCTGTATTTTACGAACTTGATGGTGGTTTGTGACAGCAAATAATAAACAGGTCTTGAGAAGTTGACATCTATCTTTATTTTAACGTTGAAAAGAGTTACCCTCTAACAAAGAGTGCACCACAGGATCATAACACAGTATCAACCACATAACCTCTCAGCATTACTTGAATACGTAGATCCAAAGATTACAAGATTCCTTCCTTCACTCACACGAAGATACCAAATGCACAAGTATACATAGTTCAATTTTTACTCTTGCCACACAAATAAAATATTAGTAATATAAAAATATGCAAATATTCCAACACCTGAATGTAAACATATTTAATGAAAATGATTAAACTTTTAATAGGATGTTTCTGTTCATAAGTCGAAAAACTACTGAGGGAAAGTTGAAAGATAATGCACGGATTTAAATCCACTCGACTATAAATTATGATCGGAATTGGTGGCAAAGGTGTGCCATAAACGGCATTCCTATTAGAACTGTTGTAAATGTTCTTTAGGAAAAGTAGCGATGAAAATTCCCATGG